GGTTTTGGCTCAAGTTCAGCCACATACCTATTCTAAGCTGAATTTGGGTATAGCCCTAATAATTACAGTTACTCTTTAGAGAAAGAGCCCAAGAGGTTTACCTGGAGATTTTTTCCAGATGTAAGCAGGTATGTGAGAAGCGCAGTAATGAAGATGTAAACCGGATGAGGCCATTTTGTGCCCCACAGTCTTCTCTCCAATCGCCCAAATGCTAGGAGATGTTCCCCAGCAATCACAGGGATGATGCAACACAGTCATCTAACAAACACCAGATGCCTGACTAGCTTTACAAGCTGTAGTGTTAAAAGAGTAGGGGGGGTGAGACCCCAACTTTGAATGCCTTTGCAGTTATCAATCTGTCACAAATTGTAATCAAACAGAAACCTAAACCAAACCCAACGCCTTCGAGTCGATTCCAACTCTAAGCTAGCTTACAGGACAGCGGAGAACTGCCTCATCATGTCGTAAAGGCTCAAAACATTATAGAAACACACTGCATCAACTTCACCCACAGGGTGACTGATGGATTCAAACCATTGGCCTTTTGGGTAGCACCTGAGTGCTTAACTATTTTGCCACAAGATCTCCTCTCAGACAGAAAAAAAAAATCTCTTCATTCCCTCAGTTCTCAAGAAAGGTCCGTAATATACCCTGCAGACTTTCTTTGGATGTAGTTAGAGTATGTTTCAATCTCTTGCCCTCTCACTATAAAATTGCACAATCTGACCAGCTTAGTGGCGATGAGGTGACCTCACATTTAACCTTGAACACTATATCTTTCTTAGTGTGGAAAGATCAGTGATCATTTTTATTAAATTTATCCTTCTATTTTTTCTTCCATATAAATCTTTATTTCCTCCCACCCCTGTGATGCTTAGAAATCATGAGCTGAACTATAGTTCTATAGTTAGCCCCCAAGATACAATGTAAATGAAACTCTTCACAATTAAGGCAAAACTCAAGGTAGTGTTGGTGGTGTTAATGATGTTGAGTACAATTCACAGCAACCCTATGAAGAATAGGTCTGAACCCTGTGCTATCCTGTGCTACTCTTATTATTTCTGACATAGTTGAGTTCATTGCTGTAGTCACTGTGTCAATTCATCTCATTGAAGGTCTGTCTCTCCTTTACTGACCCACCATCTTTTCAAGCATTATGTCCCTTTACAAGAAATAGCCTCTCCTAACAACATGTCTGAAATATGTAGGACAAACGTTCACCACCTTTGCCTTCAAGGAGCATTCTGGCTTCACTTTCTCTAAGACATACTTGTTCTTTTGGCAGACTGTGGGATTCAACACTTTTCTTCAACACCACATCTCAAATGCATTGATTATTCTTCTGTCATACTTATTATCATTCAATCTTCAGATGGATACAAATTATTAGAAAGACTGTGGTTTGAATCTGGTGCATCTAAGTCTTTAAATTGACATTGTTCTTCAGCATATTAGAGAGATCTCTGACAGCAGATTTCCCCAAAGTTATAGGTCTCCTGATTTCACTGTTGGTACTGAAAGTGTTGACTTGTGGATAGCAGCAAGATGAAATCATAGACAATTTCAATTTTTTTTCCTATCATTTCCATCTTAATTAGCCCTCTCTGAAAGAAAGAGGCTACAGTGTAGAAGGTATTTTAGAAAGGCAAATTTGCGATGATATTTATCTAAATTGTTGTTGTTTCTGATTGCTGTTGAGTAGAGTGTGATTCATAGCAATCTTATGGATTAAAGACCTGAAGCCTTTCTATAACTATCACTCAAAGTTCATAGAGTTTCCAGAGGCAGGTTGTTTAGGAATGGATAAGAAAGGATATAAGTACATTTACTACAGTGTTAAATCTTCTTATAACTTATTTGTTCTCTAAAAAGCCAGTACCCTACCTGGGAGGCAGTTTAGCATGGTGTAGAAAGCACAGCCTTTGAAGTTCTGTGATCTTGGATTTTCATGTGAGGTTGGCCATGTAGTAGCTATGAAACATATAGCTGTCCTGAGCTTTTGCTCTCATCATTTATAAAATGTATGATTGTTGCTGTATTTTAATATACAATGTCTTTAAGGCAGAACCTTATGGTGAGCTTGAAGGCCTTGGGCATAGTTTTGATAACTCTCTCCTAGGTTAATATATGCTAGCACCAGTTGCTACACAGTTCACTTCAGGTCTTAGCAGCCCCATGTGTTCTAGAGAAAACTGTGCCACATAGGCATTTCAGTGGCTGATTTTGAGAAAGTAAATTGCTAGGCCTTTCTTCCAAGATTCCTCTGAGTAGTCTTGAACCTCCAAGCCTTCATCCAGCAGCTGAGATAGTCAGCATTTGTACCCCAGGACCTCCCTTCTATTACATACAACTTCGATGGCACATAACAGCAACAACAACAACAATAAATTAACATTCTTATCAGTGTGATTTCACTACTTCACCTAATGCACTGTGCTAAGCTATTAATAATAAATGTCTTGTTGCTTATTACTAAAAATGTCAGGTTCCTCAGCCTGGATAATATGAGTGAATGTGTATTTGCTGGAAGTGGTGGTAGTGTTGGATACTGCATGGACTAAAACTAAAAATCTTGAAATAAAAATTAGGTTCTCTGGCATCTGTAATCTGGGAAGGAATAGTAGCTCTGTAATAAATTTAAAAATTTTAACATGTGGGCCTGAGGAACCAATCTAGTTCTGAAATCTTGGACTGATAAAGCAAAGACAACTAGAAGAGAATGTCTATTTGTGTTTTATTTACAATGCAAAGGCATTGTATGGATCATAACCAAGAGAGGAATATCAGATACACGTCCTTCACAGACTATCGTCATACCCTGGGTCACTATATACTTACAACAAAAAAGTCCTTGACCAGACTGCTTCATGGCTGAATTAAACCTAACATTCAGAGATCTATCACCAATTCCACTTAAAGAATTAAAAAGCAAAACAAAACAAAAACAGAAAAAAGGCACACTCTCAGAATCATTCTATAAAGCAAGTATAACCCTAATACCAAAACTAAAAAACTACAGATGATTATCTCTCATAAATATGGATGCAAAAATCCTTAACAAAATACTGGCCAATAGAATCCAGTAGAAAATATATATAGTCAACAGTCTTGGCACCAGCAGCCAGGAAATTAAAAGGTGCATTGCCATGGGAAAGTCTGCTGTTAGAGACCTCTCCAAAGTGCTGAAGAGCAATGGTGTCTCTCTGGAGACTAAGGTGCGTCTGATACAGGCCATTGTCTTCGCAATCACTTGTTATGCATCAGAGGGTTGGACAACCAAGAAGGATAGTAGGAGAATTGATGCCTTTGAGCTGTGGTGCTGGAGAAGAGTATTGAGAATACCATGGACTGCTAGGAAAACAAACAGATTTGTCCTGGAAAGGGTTAAACCGGGTGGCTCCTTGAAGGCAAGGATTCTGAGGCTCCGTCTAACATCCTTTGGACATGTTGTGAGGAGAGACCTGTCCTTAGAAAGGGACATCATGCTTGGGAGGGTGGAGGGATGGTGCAGGAGAGGAAGGCCCTCTATGAGGTGGATTGATTCAGTGACTGGGATAATTGGGATGGGAGTGTCAGGGACAGTGCGATTGGCACAGGACAGAGCGGAGTTTAGGGCTGTTGTACATAGGGTCGCTATGAGTCACAGGCGACTCGACGGCACATAACAACAATATATATATATATATGAAGGAATTCATCATTACCAAGTGAGATTCATAAGAGGTATGCAAGGATGGTTCAAGATAAGAAAAACAACATAATTCATCACATCAACAAGTTTTATAAGAAATACATGATCTTAGCAACTGATACAGAAGAGGCTTTTGGCAAGATCCAATATTCCTTCATGATTAAAACACTCAGCAAAATAGGAATAGAAGCAAAATTCCTCAATATAGTGAAAAATATATAGGCAAAACCAAGAACCAATATCATTCTCTTCAGAGAAAGACTAAAAGCATTTTCCTTGAGAACAGCAACCAAAGAAGGATATCAACTGTCACCACTCCTATTCAATATTGTATTGGAAGTTCCCGCTAGGGCAATACAATAAGAAAAGGAAATAAAAGGCATCCAGATTAGCAGAGATAGATAAACTATCACTATATGTAGAAAACACAATAGTGTACAGAGAAAACTCCAATGATTAAAAACAAACAAAACCCAAAAAATTGTTAGTGCTAGTAGACCAGTTTAGTGAGTGGTAAAATACAAGATCAACATACAAAAATCAATGGGATTCCTCTACAGTAACAAAAAGAACTCGGAGAAAGAATCCAAGAAAGTAATACCATTTACAAGAGTCAACCACAAATAGAGATGTTGTTGTTAAGTGCCATAGAGTTGCAGGCGACTCATAGCAACCTATGAATGAAAGTCCTGGTTTACAGCCATACCACCCCCATCGCGCCCGATCTCGTCTGATCTCGGAAGCTAAGCAGGGTCGGGCCTGGTTAGTACTTGGATGGGAGACTGCCTGGGAATACCGGGTGCTGTAGGC